TTACAATCACTGTCAAAGCTTCATACCATTCGGTTATTTTAGAAAATTGTTTTAATACTTCATAACCCATATGTTTTTTCAGCAAGATGGCAACGCCACCACCTCTTCGATCGCATCTATCCATGCAAAGATGATTATAGTCCGGTAAAATATAATAGTCCGAACTACTCCTGTACCACGTTTCGGAAAACATGATAACAGTTAAATGTGGTCCGATTTCGCCAAACAATGTATTCAATTCATCGTGTTTATTTTTATTGATCTCGCATTCATATGAAAGTACGTATCAGAAACGGTACGTTTATCGTCTAGAAACTCACACAAATCAAGTGGCGCGAAAACGTGCTGAGCCATGAATAAAAAACAAATAAAAGTAAATGCCGTTTCGAGACAGATAACCGTCTACGCTACACTGGAAAGGTCACTATCACAGTTTATCTGAAGAGCGTCACTGTTTTCATTTTTTCGCATGAAAATTTTTCCTTGAGAAACCCAGGCAAACTTCCATCCTTTTTCTTTTTTGCAACGAATCGTTTTGCTCAGTAAGATCTTATTTTCGAGACACAAATGCTCATTCACAAAGATAGGCTCAGTACCATGAAAACCAAGGTCAGCACTCGTGAGCCTATGTTTCTTTGCCTTTTGCAAGACTTGCTCCCGAACGCTACGTCGTACAAATCTCACAACTACATTTTGCACGCCATTGGTTTTTGAAGGCACACGGCGAACAGTATCAATGTCAGACGGACATTGCTGAGCTCCGACACGGGTACCAAGTTCAACGACGAGCGCATCAAGAACCTCGTTTCCGTTTTGTGGAAGTCCTTTGACTTCGAGGTTGTTAGCTCTACTGTACTGTTTTAGTTCCACCAGCTCTCTCTTTACAGAGGTAAGTTCTTCAGTAAGCTTCCTATTTTCGTCCTTAAGAGTTTGCTGTTCCACCCTTAGTTCTTTTACCTCCGTAACAGTGGTGGCTAGATCTTCCTTGAAATCTTCAAAACTTTTGTTCATAAAAGTCATTGACCGATTTATCTCCTCCATTTCTTTGCCCAAGTTCGTATTCATTACATTCATTTCCCGGCTTAAGCTTGTATTCATCTCATCCAGCTTTGCTGAAAATTCGAAGAAAAGCTTAGCGAGCTCCTTCACAGTTCCAGGCTGTTTTTCACCCATTACTCGGTGCTAACAACCAAACAACTAGCGATACAGCAAACCAACACAGCCAAAAATACAGCCGGGCGATCCAGACAACCACAAAAGAGAAGAAATGCAGCAACACTACCCACCTGCAAATATACAGAAGGCAATGCGTCAACTGAGGCCGAAAACACGCGTGTCTGGATCGCCCACTGCAATGGAAGGACCCACGGCGAGAGCTTCCTTTTGTAGGCTCTTGTTCCGGAAAGCTGATGTCACCGGAAACTGCAACGTAGTCTTGGCAGTCCCTCAGGAGCTAATCTCGAAGGGCGTTGATGATCGCTTGAAACCCTGATAGGCACCGTTTGGGCGATATGACCGCAGACTGCAAATATACAGAAGGCAATGCGTCAACTGAGGCCGAAAACACGCGTGTCTGGATCGCCCGCTGCAATGGAAGGACCCACGGCGAGAGCTTCCTTTTGTAGGCTCTTGTTCCGGAAAGCTGATGTCACCGGAAACTGCAACGTAGTCTTGGCAGTCCCTCAGGAGCTAATCTCGAAGGGCGTTGATGATCGCTTGAAACCCTGATAGGCACCCTTTGGGCGATATGACCGCAGACTGCAAATATACAGAAGGCAATGCGTCAACTGAGGCCGAAAACACGCGTGTCTGGATCGCCCGCTGAAATGGCTCACCCGGTACAGCATCTTCTTCATGACCTCATTTGTTTGTTCTGCGATCATCGATCACTCTGACCCCGAGTCAACTTCCATCATTGCCGACGTCCGGTGCTTACGTGTCTGCGATGCCTGTGGCGGGGCTAGTTAGTATCGTACACATCATCAGATTGTGTGTCCAAGTTCAGAACGATCGCCGTGGCTTTGGATCCTCTTGTTTCCATGGCCCGCTCTGCGCTCATTGTTTCATGCAACACACACAGTGGATGCGGCCGATTTTTCTGCATAAGTGACACTAGGCATCCTTAAATTGACAATACTCCCGGGCCTGAGCTCCTCCGCACCCATTGCAAGGCTTTGTTTTCCCGTGGTATACGGTTCCCTTGTCGGTTGCCTAAGCGTGTTTTCTCCTTCCTCTTAGTCCTGACGTATGGCAACGTCGGTTGCCACAGCTAGTTCTCCTCCCCTCACATCGGGGGTGCTTTGAGCCGCCGCTTCAGCTGCCAGCACTTTTTCCTGAGCGATCTTGAACGAGAGTTTTTTTTTGCGAAGAGTCAAGCTTCAAGAGTTTCATCCCTCAGGTCACACACGAGTCGATCTCACAGTGTTTCCGTGAGATTTGGAAAGTTGCAGTTTTGTGACAACCGCCGTAGTTCCACAATGAACAAGGCCACAGACTTCTCGGGACCCTCATTCCGCCGGTAAAGGCATTCTGGCGTACAATCTCCGACGGTTGGCTGAAGGTCTTCGTCTTGGGAGTTGCCAACGCGAGTAGTGACTGTACTAAGTCAAAGTGGCAGCTCCGCAAACGCTTAAAAAAAAACACGTTTTCAGGTTGGGTTAGTGATATCGTTTTCCTCGAGGTGGAAGTTCAATCTTGCCTCGTAAGCATCCCACTTCTCCGGAAACGCAGGGTTGAATTCTCCTATCTGTCCCAGGGTCGCCATTTCTTGTCGAGGGTACAAGGAGGGTATCCGAACAAAGGGCGATGTTCACAAACCTTGTGCCTCACCTGTACGTTGCGATATGGGGCCGTAGAGTGCAGCAGTCTCTATGCACTCTTATCCTCATCACCACATGATAGATCCTGGCCAGTAGATGATGACCGGATAACATGAACTATTTATTGACTCAAGATACAAAGGCTACGTAATGAAGACATGATAGGTTCACTGGCTGGCGTTGGCCGTTGACTGCGTGCTTCGCATTTTTTTCCGCAGTGTGGCGTAATTTTCTAGGATTGCGATCCGTGTCCCAGATGGTGCCACCACTCTATACACAACAGTCACCATGAACAATCTATTGAAACTGTGGCTATTGCCAGAAACTTTTGAATAGGACACTGAAGTAAAAGTTTTTGTCAGAAAAAATGGATGATTACAAGCACAGAGACGTCAGAACCATTCAGCAGATGGGGGGATGGGGGCGACAGTGGTGGGGGGAAGGGCAAGTTTGCACCCCTCCTTCATATCTTTTCCATTAAATTTCTGACCTGTCAGGGGGGCAGTCTTCCCCCCCCCCGCCCCCCCCCCCCCCCCCCCCGCTCCACTATTTCTTTTCGACGCCACTGTACAAGCAGAATGTGATTACAACCATCGTGTCTGTAGTCGACTGTATACTGGTGGTTGAGGCGACGGCCATTTGCAGCGAGAGCTATGGTAAAATGCGCCTGATTCAGCGGTAGCACTTGCTGTGTATCGCGGCGATAGTTTCATTTAGTCGCCCCGCAACAGAGCAACCGTCAAAGAAAAGAAAGTCCGAGTAGCAGAGGAGGGCTGCGGCTGCACAGTTGGCAGGACTCTTCGTGGCGGTGCATTGACGGCACCTTTTAACATTTATGTTCACACTCTTTGCATCAGCCTTGCCTGTTCGTGATAACAATGCCCTTTGCCTTTATCTTCATGATGTAGTTTCCATGTTTTGAGCGCACCTTCGGGGCCTCCTCGCCGAGTACGGGAAGCATGCCTCGCCGCGAGCTCGGCCAGGCAATGATCAGTCGGCAGTGGCCCCCAAATGCATGCTCGCTGAAACGCTGCCACCGAGACATCGGCCTTTGCGGTCCATGACATATGGATCCTTGCATTGTTTACCAGTACTTCACTAACTCGTAACTTTACTATGAGTGGCGTCTAGAGCCGCTGGTCAAATAATTGCAGGATTCCAGTTACGCTTTGAACCGCATATTTAAATTTGTTCTTCTGACACAATAGCCTTTCGCATCAAAACTTTGTCGGTGGCATATTGGAACTTTCTGCTTGTAGCACACTTTACCAACGCCGAAATATCCCGTACGTGCTGGTTGAATGTCGTCATCGCAAGCTTGGCACAGTTTTTCAAGTTCACATGCCAAAAACCAGGTAGTTTTGTAGAAAATATGGTGCACATCAGTGCATGTCCGGGCAATTTGTGTCATCCTATGCCTTGGTAAGTGTTTCCATGTGGTGGGAAGTCAATCACCAGCATGGTGCGGGGCCCCCGGTCGTTTGCCGTCTGTTAAGCAAGTTAGTTGCTTCGTTTTATATGAACCACAGGTAGCCCAACGAGTTGTGGCTACTTTTCGATACAGTGCAGTCAAACGCACTGAAACGAAACTGTGTGTATGGGCCTTTACGCCGTTGCGCTTCCATTTTGGACCTGCAGTTTTTCACTTTCTTTCGTTGTCGTTCCCACTCGGTTTTGACGTCAGTGGATCATAGATGAAGGTTGCTCAAACATAAAAAGGGAGATGAATAGTTAGGTGTCTTGGCTGAATGCGCCTTAAGCAACTTCGACAAAAGGCAGCAAGAAGGGAGATGATAGTAAGGATTGCAAAGGAAAAAAAAGCTTTGATGCTGACTGCATGCCACGTCGACGGTGACATCGCTCAGGCCTGTACAAATGCAATGGTGCGCAAGGCAAACATTTTTTTTGTGGGTACGGTCCTTACGTGTGTTTATTACAGTAATGACTTTCACTTTTACTTAGCTGAGTGTGTAAAAGTCGTTGCATTTTTTTATGATGCCATCATTTTTTTATAGTTTTGCATGTTTCTAAATGAAATACATAATGCAGTGGAATTTTTTTGCATACTTGGAACCAAAAAGACATTGAAGAGAACAAACCAAAAAAACCTGTTTATTGTATTAACAGAGTAAAGCTAAAACGGCAATGCCTCTTTGCCAAACTGAAGGCCCCTCCTCCCCTTTAAGGGACTTGTTGTAGGGCCTTCTCAAGTAAATTGAACATTTTTTCTCCCTGTTCAATATAGAAGTTTGCTGCCTTTTTCATCAATTCGGCAGCCTCGCAGGCTGCCCTTACTGCCCTTGCCTGCCCTTCCGATGCCCTTGCCTGCTCTTCCGTCGCCTTCAGTTTGGCAAGGAGGCACTGCCGTTCTAACTTTATGTTCTCGTGTTGTTGCTCCAAGATGTCTCTATAAAACTGTTTGTCTGCAGCCCATGTGCTGGCTGCCGAGCCTGCGGGTGGTGCGCTGGGCCTCCAGACCAGTCGTGAACGAGGTGGTCCCCACAGGCCTAGTGGTGCCGGTCGCCCTTCAGCAGCAGCTGCTGCCTCAGGCGGTCCCCCTGCCGCAGGAGGAGGCCCCTCCCGACGTAGCAGCGCAGCTGCTGCACCAGTCTCCACGGGTGCCTCATCCTCGTCCAGCGGCCAGTCCGGAGGCTCGTAGTCCAGGGTTTCTTCGGACTCCGGCACCTCGAGGAATGCGACCCCGGGGTCCACTTGAACTTCGTAGCTGAGAACTCGGTCCTCTCCAACCACTTCGTTAGTGGTTTGCTGCACGCTGACTGATGCTGTGCTGGCCCTAAGGAAAATACACAAGAATGTTAGTCTTGTCACCCTTGTATATAATTTGAGAACACTCTTATTTGTATTTCATTCATGCTTTTTGTGTGCATGTGGATCAAGCTCGACTCCTCAGCTCTCGGCTATTGCTGCTATTAGTTGTGAAAGTATGTGGGCTTTAGTAAAGTCAGCCTACAGTGTGCAGGTCAAGCCCGATCTTGGCTGTTGCGGCTATTAGTTGTGAAAGCAGCTGGCTTCATGCAGATCCAGTGTGCAGTGTTGATGCCGGCCACATATTTCTGGTTGCTTGTCCCTATAATTCTGTTTTATGTAAAAAAGACTACCATGTTGAGCAGCAGATGTGCTCAGGGTGATTCCAAATTTAGTGGTAGTGTCTACTGGTCGGTGCTTAATAAATTGTACTCACTGTACACCATATTTGAACTGACTGCTCAGGATTACTTCTGATTTCTTTTATTTATCAATACTGTTCCCACTTTCATGGTGGTTTTATTCCAGAAAAGACGTTCCTCATGGTATGCATTGTGCATGTTGGAAGTGTTGCAAAAGCTTGACGTCAGCATATGCTTAGCAACAGCGAACTCAGCTGTGACAGGGAATGCTACCTACAAAAAGAGCGAGATTTCGGAGCACTAATCTCGCATAAATATGTTGATGTAACAGACTGTCTCAGCTTTGTGCCTTCATTCGTTTGACTTGCCATCTCAATACAACGGACCTGAAGCAAATGAGGTCCAAGCTTTGTGTTTGTGACCTTTGGGTCTACGTAGCAGTAGAGTTTTCAACATAAAACAATATATTTGTTTTGCTGTTTGTCATAGTTTTGCTTGACTTCATAAAAGTCTAGCCTGTATACGGTAGTCTTGCGATAATTCAAACTCGGATATTATACTTCTGGTTAATTCAAACAAATTTCCTAAGTTTGGTTGTCTCGCTATGTTCTTAGTGTATCCATATGCCACTTGAACCGAATGCCGTTTTCCTGTAATTCATATTTTTTGTTCTTGCAGCCCTTTTGTTGAGTGTGCTTCTTTCCGAGCACCGGTACACTGCAGAGGGAACACCCATGGAGCTGTTGCTTCTCCGCAATGCACCGGCGCTCGGTTATAAGCGCACTCAACGGGGCTCATGCGGAAATTTCTACAGCAACTTGCGCAGACGCTGTGATCTGGTAGCATGGCATACACCGAGCACTGGCACATTGCGGAGAAGCAACAGATCCATGGGTGTTCCCTCTGGAGTGCACCGATGCTCGGAAAGAAGTTTACTAAACAAAAGGGCTGCAAGAACAAAAAATATGAATTACAGGACAACGGCATTGAATTTAAGTGGCATAGCATGGGGAAGTTGCAACGTCCTCACAAGTTGCTATGAAAACTGTGGCGCAGTGCCCGCTTTTATTGCTCACGTGTCCCCCGTTTAATAGTTCACACTAGACAACTTCTTGACCCGATGAACAAACTGAATTTTGTTTTGAGTTGTCATGTGGTGTTTGAACAGCCCACAACAATTAACATTTTTGACGGATAAACTTTTGTCTTACATTTCACGAATGTTTCATGTGTAGCGTACCTGGTTATGATCAGTAGGCCTATGTAAAGGAAAGCATGAAATATCTTCTGTGTATGTGAAGCCACTCATAAGGCGAATCATATTTTTATCTTGCATCATTATTTCTATAAATTTCTGATAAATCAAACAAAATTCATGGCTTCCTGGAGTTTGAAATCATGAGAGTATAATGTATTTTGTAATGGTAGTGTAGTAGAAACACAATCCCCTTTGTCTTGTTTGCATTGCATGATACCTTTTTAAGATATACCTTCTACCATTTCAGCAGTGTACCAGCCTAAGTCTGCTATCATTTTTCTTTCCCAAACTTTCAAGACTCGGCCAACGGCGCTTGGAATGTTCAGAAGACTGCGTCGTCCTCCCCATGTATATGTCGGCTCATAATCATCATCATTTTAATCTTGCATCTCACAAGATTAGGTCGTGATCTTACATCATCACATCATCACAATCAGAAGATGTGGCGTTGCGGGCGTACCTTGCACGGGCTGCTGCCTTTCTGCAGTGCCGTGGCTCTCGTAATCCAATAATTACTATTATTATTATTGTTTATATTATTTCTATTATCATCATTGATGAGCGCAGTGGTCTTTCATTGACATGCCTAGCTCGACTTTAACATCAAGTAACATGGCTCAAAGTTTTAGAGTTCTTGGATGTGCACGGTTCTTTCTTGCTCTGGAGAGAACACACCAGGACATTCCTTTGAGTGGCCCAGTATTTAGTACTTGCGAACTTCAGATATGACTATGAATACAATATTAGCTTTGCTAGTAGAACCCCCAATAGTGTGAATCTCGAAAGGCTAGACTTCGTACAAATAACAGTAACGACAGCTCACTCGTCGGTGTCTATGCCTCCTTCGATACCCAGAAGGTTGGGGCTTGTGGAACCGATGACCGCCAGCACAGCCTCAGCCAGCTGTGTCAGCGTGTGGTCGTTGCGCCCTGCGCCTGTGGAAGACAAGGTTCTCTTTATATTTTGTTTGAGCATTAAATTTTGTCTGATTGCAGCAAGCACATTCATTGTTTTGATTTGATTGTATTAATAGATTGATAATTGCTTCTATAATTTAGCCAAGAAAATGAGAAAGTGGAAAAAAAACTTATTTAGCACACAGAATGTGTGCTTCATTTTTATATGGAGTAAAAACATGTATAGTAAACTCACCGGTCGTGGAGTGTGCTCTCTTCGAGAGGGCCAGTTCAGCGCGGCTGCGACATTTCAGGTTTTGCCACTGCTTTTTGAGTTGTGGCACAGTGCGCAGCGTCGATGGATGCCGCGAATTCATCACGGATGCGATCTCCTGCCACGCTTTTTTTATTAGCAGATTTGTAATACTGTTGTTAAATTTGTTCTTAATTACACGTTTTCGTTTCTCGATTTCGTAAACCAATTGAAACTTATCATCTTCGGACCAATTTGATTTCTTTACCTTGGGAGGCATCAGTGATGGACCGGCGACATCCATGTCTGCGTGCAGCAAACTCAGACGGTCGTCTGCTAACTTAATGATCGAAACATAATTATCAACTTTTATTGCAAATGCTTCCGAAAAAATACGTCCAGCGCATTTTTTTTCTTAAAAAATTGGGCGTCTAAGGACACGCAGACATTTCTGTAGACAACTTTATTCGGCGTACGCACTGGACGTCGACGGCGGTGGTGACAGACGATCGCGATACGAAGCAATATGACAGCGTTGGTACGCACTAAACTCTACCCAGAAGCGCGCATCTCTGACTTTTTTTCTTTCTTCTATTTTGCACAGAACCATGGTATGTACGATACATGTGCCGCAGTTTTGCGACTATCGTCGTTTCTCTTTGCCCAAACCGATCGCAGCGTAGCAGAAGCAGACGATCTCTCGCTTGCCACCTCGCGTCGCCGGCGCTTTCTTATTGGACAGGAGGTCACAACTCGTCACTTCCACGTCCGGAATCTTCGGCCGTGTTCCAAAATATACTCGGTCTCACTCTAGGGTAAAGGTTTTGTACCTTTGCGATCGAAAACCTACCCGCGTCCGGCATTACTCGATGTTTGGTGTCACGTGACATGATCTGCCAGGGTAACTCGGGTCCATTCGAGTAGATTTGAAACGCACCCTCTGCTCCCTCCGGTATTTCTTCCGTTTTCCCTAGATTCCCTCTCTAGGTACTGCTCACTCCGTTCTTGGCGGTCTGGGTGCCAGACTCAAGTCCGGACTTGAGTCAAGACCGCGCCGGAGACCGTGCTGGATCCGTCTTGGTCTCAGTCACGGTCTCAGCCGAGACCGCCAGGCGCCTGAGTCAAGACTTGAGCCAAGACTTGAGTCAAAACTTTCTAGCAAGCGGCCCCTGGTAAGGCCCGGCCAGGATGATTCAGTCTAGTCGCCACTCCTTCTACTATCCCCTCCCTCCTTTCACCTTTTTCTTCTCCTTCTTTTCACTCTTCTCATTTCTCTCCTTTCCTTTTCAACTCCTTTGGCGGCAAGGGCTAACCTTGGGTGGCAATAGATTCTCTTGTCTTGAACCACACTTGGTTATAGAGACTGGGCAGCACTAATAGAGTAACGTCTTCAGCCAAGCCCTTCTTGTTATGGAGCGTTACCTATTCCCTTGTTGGGCTCGGTGGTGGGCGGTGCACCACAGTTTCCGAAAACCCTCCCCGTTCATATGGGTTCCAAGCTTAAACCTTCTGATCGGGCCCCCAAAAGGGACCGCACCGATGCATATCTACCACCTTTGGACAAGAACAACACTGACTACGTCACTAAGTTTTTCATTTTACATTCCGAAGTTGAGACGAAACCGATGTCGAAACTCTCCCCTTTTCTTGTGGCTAAGGTCTTAAAAGACTTGGTAGGGGAAAAGTTTAATGCAAAAAAGACTTTTTTCTGGAGACCTTTTGGTAGAAGTATTTGAGAAAAATCAGGCAGCAGCGTTGCTCTGCCTCAACCATATCCTTGACACGAAAGTAAGCGTCTCTGCACACCGTACGCTCAACACCATTCGTGGTGTTATATCTGAGGATGACCTGATGGAGAGTCAGGAGGAAGAGATTCTTGAAGGCATGCGCATCCAGGGTGTTGTTGCTGTAAAGCGCATCACCATCCGTGGGGATGACAAAGAACTTCCTACGCGACACTTGGTCCTTACCTTTGAGCTCAACAGCCTGCCTTCTTCCGTGAAAGCGGGGTACTTGAATTGTAGGGTCCGGCCTTACATACCTAACCCTGTCCGTTGTTTCCGTTGTCAGCGCTTTGGGCACGGCTCGCGGTCATGCCGTGGCCGTGAGACATGTGCCAGTTGTGGCAGCTCCGAGCAAAACGCTGACGACTGTCATGAAGACATGAAATGTGTAAATTGTAAAGGCAAGCACCCTGCGTATTCTAGGTCATGTGAACATTTCAAAAGAGAAAAGGAAATTCTGACGCTGAAGGTGAAGGAAAACATATCTTATCCCGAAGCAAAACGTCGCCTCTTGGGTTTTCAGGCAGGCTCTTTTGCCGAGGTGGTGCGCCGGGGACCTGCACCACCTATGGCGTCTGTGGGAACGCAAGTGTCTTATGGGGACCTTGCTCAACCACTTAAGTCCTCTGGTCCCAAACTAAAGGTGCAACTCCCAGGGCGCGCTGTCTCAGCTGCCCGGGCAGGTGCCCTCCCCAGCCGTGCGAAAGGTTCGGATTTATTATCCGAGCAGACGGAGACCACCCCGTCGCAGAAGAAAGGCACCTCTGGAGCAGTGCCCACTGCTCTACCTCGAGATGACAGGGTGGATGCCGGTCCGTCGGGATCCACCCGAGCACAGGGGTCTGCGTACCCTGCACAGGGTTCTGCACCCCCTGCTTCTCCGTTCCAGCCACCACGAGGTCGGGGACTTGGTCCCTCTGCCCCTGGTGGATCTCGACACCGGGGGAGCCGTCGAGGTTACAGGCCTCCAAGGAGGAGCCCCTTTTGGCTCCAGCTGAGCGAATGGACGAGAGTGGGTCAAGGTCCGACGAGGACAGACCCCACTCGAGCTCCGAATCTCTACTTCCGGCCTCCGGTGGCACCACGGGCAGGCCGAATGACACCTCCAAAAAGAAAAATGCTCCGCGTGAAAAAAAAAAAAAAATTTAAGTCGTAAAAAAAAATTGCTTACTCTTGAGTTAATTTTAATTTTATTTTTTATTATAAACGTTACAATGGTCCACAATTTTAGTATTATGCAGTGGAATTGTCGCGGCCTTTTTTGTACCATTGATGACATACATTTTTTCTTGATGAGCTCCGTCCTGTGGCCTTATGCCTACAGGAGGCTTATCTGAGTGACACCCACACAAAAGTGTTACGTCGTCATCAGGTTTTCCGAAAGGACCGCATTTCATCAAACCCTTCGGGTGGTGTAGCAGTGGTAGTGCAGAGTGGAGTTGCCTGTGCTCCAGTCCCTCTACAGACTCCCCTTGAGGCAGTTGCAGTTCGAATTCTTCTGGACCGCCTCATTACCCTTGTATCACTCTACTTGCCTCCCAACACTCCGCTGCATTTGCAAGAACTTCAGGGACTCGTCGGCCAGCTACCCGAGCCCTTTTTAATTCTTGGCGATTTTAATTCCCACCACCCCTTGTGGGGTAGTCCTCGACAGGACTCTCCTGGTGGAGTCATTGAGCGACTTTTATTATCATCCGGGTTATGTCTTTTAAAGCAAAAAGAAGCACCGTTTTTTAGTGCCGCCCATAACACTTTTACAGCTATTGATTTGTCCCTGTCATCACCATCGTTACTCCCATGTTTTTCATGGAAGGTTTTAAACAACCCTTTCGGCAGCGATCATTTTCCCATTATTTTAGAAAGCGTTAGACCAGTTCCATTGATTCCTACTCGCCTTCCCAGGTGGAGGTTAGAGAATGTCGATTGGTCTATTTTTGAATTAGAGGCTGTGATTGATCCATCTTTGCTTCGTACTATGAGCCCCGACAATGCTTCAGTTTATGTCACTGAATGTATAATTAGTACAGCTTCGAATTCTATTCCTCAAACATCTGGACATCTTCCTAAGAGATGCAAACCGTGGTGGACTAAGGAGTGCACAACCACTCGCCAGGACCAGAATAAAGCCTGGGGAGATTTTCGTCGGTACCCTACCAATCAAAACCTAATTGCATTCAAGAAAAGTAGGGCTAAGGCGAATTGGACACGAAAACAGGCTAAGAGGGTTTCATGGACCAAATATGCCTCTTCTATAAATAGCCTTGTTCCAGCGAAGGAAGTGTGGGACCGCCTGCGAAAAGTCCGAGGCGACTATCAACCTTTCCGAATCCCTCTTTTTCCCTTGCCTGCCGTATCTCTCAAAGATCAGGCAAATGTTCTTGGTATGCACTTCCAACATATATCTAGTTCTTCCCACTTTAGTGTAAAGTTTCAGAAGTTTCAGTCTACTGCTGAAAAGCAATCAATCTCGATGTCAGGATATGACCGGGCAGCTTACAATAGACCGTTCAGTATGTGCGAACTGGAAGTGGCGCTGGGTGTAAAAAAGCAGTCTGCACCAGGCCCAGCCAGGATTCATTACGAAATGCTGAGGCACTTGTCCCCAACATCATTAAGTCATTTGCTTATGTTTTTTAATCATCTATGGAAAGTAGCTGCTTTCCCTCGACGCTGGAAAAGCGCCCACATCATTCCTCTTCTGAAGCCTGGTAAAGACCCCTCTCTCTCAGCGAGTTACCGTCCCATCGCGCTCACTAGTTGTCTTGGGAAGACTTATGAAGGGCTCATCAACCGGCGTCTGGTGTATTTTCTGGAGGAAGAAAATATTTTGGACATTAATCAGTGTGGATTTCGGGAGGGACGATCAGCCACAGACCATTTGGTTCGTTTGGAGACTTTTATCCGTGAGGCATTTGTACATCGGCAGCATTGTGTCTCGGTATTCTTCGACCTGCAAAAGGCCCATGATACCACATGGAGGTATGGAATTCTTCGGGATCTACACAACTATGGGGTACGAGGCCGCATGCTCCAGTGTATACAGAATTTTTTAAGCGACCGGACTTTTGAGGTCCGCTTGGCTTCTACACTGTCCGATGTGTTCCCCCAGGAAAATGGAGTTTCTCAGGGAGGAGTTTTAAGTGTTACTCTGCTGTAAAAATTAACAGTCTTGCAAGTGTGATTCCACCGTCTGTGTTTTACTCATTGTATGTGGATGATGTGCAGATCTCCGTTTCTTCTTGCAACCTCTCTAGCTGTGAACGACAACTACAACTTACAGTCAATAGGATGAGCAAATGGGCAGATGAAAACGGTTTTACTTTTTCTCCCGAAAAAACTGTCTGCGTTCCCTTTTCGCTTCGCCGGGGATTGTCCCCTAATCCTTCTTTGCATTTAAACCACATTGACATACCTGTTCGCCAGGAACACAAATTTCTGGGCATAATCTTTGACAAGAAGCTCACTTTTGTACCTCATTTGAAAGATTTGAAGTGCAAATGCTTAAAATCATCAAACATTC